AATTTCGCAAGTGGAGGATATGAAATAAAATAGTATTTTTTTAGGTTTTATGTATACAGTTGAATAACCAAAAAAATCATAAATTACTATATCGATAACATAGACTTCCACTATAATTTATCAATCTGTATTTTGGCCAGGTGGTTAGGATGCTTGACTCACAATCAGAGGGTCACGGGTTCGAATCCCCGTCCCACCAAACATGCTCGCCCTTTCAGCTGTGGGGGCGTTATAATGCGACAGTAATCCTATTATTTGTTGGTAAAAGAATATACCAAGAGTGGGTGATAGCACTATTTGTTGGTAAAAGAGTATCCCAAAAGTGGGCTGTGGGTGGTGATGACAAGCTTCCTTACCTCTAGTATTACAACGTTAAATTAGAAACGGCTAGTGCAGTTAGCTCTCATGTAGATTTGCGCAAAATTCTCAACAAAGCTGTATTTTGCTCTAAAAAATATGAAATTTGGAGAAGACGAAATACACAACCTATCCGCATGAAATCTTGATTCGAATTAATGAGAGGGCTTCCCAACATTTTATAATGGCCAGGGATACATTCTGAGCTGTCAGTTGGTTATTCACATGTCATATATTGAGGAAAGTCTATATAAGGGACTGTTTCCAAACACTGTGTTTGATTCAGTACCTAAGTGATATCTCAGCAAAAAGAAAAGCTATGAGGTTTGTATTTGATATCATTGCTTGTCAATATCGGTAATTTAAGTTCCTAGTTCGTACAAAACTATAGACGTAGTATTTTGACATCACAAACATGTCATTTGAAGCAGTAGTGCATTTAACATACCACGTGACACACAAAAATCGATGTTTAACTGTGTTTTTAATATTTGCTTTTAAATTAAGAAATTGAGTAATATATAGTACTAAAATTTGAATTATAATCTACTTTGAAATCACCACATGGTTGATATGTTTTTCATATTCAAATAAACCGACTGTCTGCAAATATGTTTGTGTATGTGCAAAGTAGCCACCCAATGTATAACAGACAAATATGTGTATTTGTTTACAAAACGATTTATATCCCATACAAGTTTTAAAAATATGTCATGTATGTATTCAGATTATATTGCAAGCTAAAAATAAAATATAGTTAATAGAAAATGGAACTTAAAATCTACGAGTTTGTTTCTTTTGAACCATTTCGAACTTTACCATTATCCTTGAACAACAAAAATAACTGACCTTGTAAGTTTTCAAAGAAAATACTTTAGTATCCTATTTTTAAATTGGGCTTAGGTCGTTGTATTTATCATTCTTCGGATAACGTATAATAAACATCTCGTACAATAATCATTCACAGCTAGTTTATCAACGAAACCTGATTTGGCCATATTCGTTATTAATTATGCCTGTTTCTTACGCCAGTAATTAGAGAATCGTGTTAAGACCTTCAGGAATAGATGGATTTTTTTTTGTTTGGTTTTTAACATTTAGACATTTGTACCAGGTCATTGAATAATCTAATTAAAAGGAACATAGAGATTTCAAAATAGAATAAACGTACATTCAACTGTTATTGTTTCCGGAATGTGTAAATGATTACGTCTAACAATTAAATTGGATTAAAAAAAGGGAAATCCTTGTTTTATTATGACTGTACTTCCAATGAAAAGTTTTCAAGATATAACTAGTTGGATAAGATTTTAGATATGCAAATGTAGTTTTTCAAATTGAACACAACACATGTTTTTCTTATAATACCGTGCTGAGTTAAATTTAGATTTTCATTATGTGCTCTTTATACCTAGAATACGTAACATTGAGCTTTTCGTACGATTAGTGAGTTAAATCCAAAGTGTAAACTATACT